AGGGGAGCTATATTGTAAAACTTTTAAAAATTTTCAAAAAAAAAAAAATATTGTAGCTTTTCTAAATTTGTTTCTCTTCAAGTATCTTGTACACCAATTTCCTTTATCATGTTTTTAAAAAAGTCTTAGGTAGTGTCTTTCTTCCTTGTTTTCCTGTTTTGCTACTTTTATAGTCTAACGTCCCATCTACTATTGCATTAAAATCCCCTACTAAGCAAATATTTTGATATTCCATTTCTCCTATTTTTCTATGAAGTTTTTGATAAAAATTTTCTTGCTTATTGTTTGGTGCATATATTACTACCAAAAGTATCTGTTTTTGATTTAAAATTATTTCCACCTTTACAATTCTTCCTTCTTCATCTGAATAGATCATTTTAGAGTCTATTGTCTCTTTAACATATACAGCTACTCCTCTCTTTTTTTGTTGCACTGATGCATAGTAGAGTTTCCCAATTTTTGGACATTCCAAAAGTTTGTAATATTGTTTTTTATGTGTGTCTCTTGTAGACAAATTATATCTATATTTAATTTCTGCGATTTTAAAAAAAATTCTTTTCCTTTTTGATGGGGAGTTCAGTCCATTTATATTCACTGAAAAAATCCGTTTTCCTTCTCCATTTTGTTTACTTATATTTAGGTCTTGTTGATCTCGTGGTTCTCTGCTCTCTTGGTCTGTCTTCTCTTTCTCTTCTTCAATTTGTGTAATTGTTTCCTCTGTGTAATTATTCTATCTGTTTCTGGACTTCTCTATCCTCTTGTTGGTATTGTATTCTTTCTTCCAAAGATGCTCTGCCTTCCAAATTGAGTCCAATCTTGTATTGTTCCAATTAATTAAGATGGCATTAACCATCTGAACTTTACACCTTTTGCAATTAGCTTTGTAGTCAGAAAGTGATATTGTTTTCGGGTGTCCCTTATTATCTAAGGCATCTGCTTCAACACAATTTCCCTGTTTCTATATTGTAGTGGATCATCCCTAACTGCTTTCAGTATCTCATCCCTCTTTGTTTTCTTTACGAATCTAATGTGGACTTCTCTAGGCACTTTCTGTTTCCTCGCGTAGCTTGAATTCATTCTAAATGTCTGATCAATCTCCAATTGCATCTCAACTCTGTCTATTTTTAGGGCTTCCGCCAGTAAATTAATAATCATTTCCCCTGTATCTTCCTCCTTGTCTTCAGGTATATTCTAGAATCTTAAATAATGTACAGCTTTCTCCATTTCCAAGGCTGCAACCGCCTCTTTTAGGCTTTGATTTGCTTGTCCTGGCTTTTCATTTTCTTCCATTATTGCCTCCATTTTTTAATCAATTTCTTCTGATTCATCCTCCATTTTCTGAATTCTTTGTTCATTTTTAGCAATCATTTGTTGATGGGCATCAAATTGGGTCTTTATATCAAGCATTTGCTCATTTAGCTTATCTAAGTTGTTTTTTGTCTCTTCATAATTCTTCTTTGTTTCTTGAATTAATTGTAATGTGGCTTGCATTTCTTTTTGGAAATTGTTTTTTCTTGTTGTAACATTGTTTCAATGGATCCCTGCCTTGCTGGATTAGATGTCCCAGAGGAGGGTGCAGAAGAAGTTTTTTTGTAATTTTAGTACGATGTGGTGCACTCATTTTTCAATTAATCAGGTTTTGTAAATCCACAGGAAAAAAGGAAAAGAAAAGCCAACTGCTTTAGGCTATAATCCCACCATCAAAAAAGCCAACTATTTTAGGCTAATCTAAATATTCCGATCAGTTCAAAAATATAAAGAGCCCTCTATCTCCAAATAGTTTCTTTAATAGTTGTATCCAGAGTCAGGAGATATGATTACACAAAACCTTTCCTAGCATAGAGTCACACAAAATCCTTTTTGTTTACAACAGGTGTTAGTCCAAGGTCAGCAATTTCTCTAGTTCTTTTTGTAATATTGTAGCACCTTCTTTCCACCACTAGATGTCCTCATAAAATAAAATAAAAATAAAAATTTTTCCCAAATCATAAAAGTTAGTGAAGTTTTCTTTATATCAATCCCAATTTCATTTTCTATATATATATTTATATTCCTTAATTTTGTTCCCCCATTTAAGATTTTTGGCCGCTTTTAACTCCCTACTTCCAAATCTTCCTGGGGTCTTTTGCTTTTGGAAATTATCCAATCCAGGGATTTATATTTGTAAATCCATAGGGAAAAGAAATAAAAAGCTGTCTCACCCAGATCTCAACACGTTATTGAAAATCAGCTGTTCAGTGGCATGCCGCGTTTCTCACTTCTTTCCCAGCTGTCTATGACTCAGACTATCTGTGCAGTTGCTGGCAGCCTTTCTCCCATCTGTTTGAAGGGGTTCCTTAGTTTGATTGGGTCGACCGCCATTGGCTCCAAGCTCCCAAGGCTTCCCTTCCTCCTCATCGCCTCTCCAAGGCAACTTTCCGACTCCTTGGGGTCTCCGGACGGAGCAAAATCAGACTAGGAAACCGGAGTCCCGGTTTCTTTCATCTGTGCCGTCATGACACCAAACCGGAAGTTCCAAATTACATTTTGGTTTAATGTAATGTTCAGATCCAACTAAAGAGAAATTCTCTGCTCCAAACAACCCCAGCAAGATATTTAACAATACTTCAGTTGCCACCAAATATTCTTTGCTTATGGACAAAAACAGCTCCAGAAAAAAAAAAGTAAAACTGAAATAAACCCCAGAATCTATCATTAATCTTAAGAGATGTGCAACAAAAGACGAGGGACAGGCTAATGATCATATAGAAAGAACACTAAGCAAATATGAAATAACTATACCTTACTCCCCCAATGCCTATGGAGGAACAGGGTTCCAAGTTGATTTAGTCCCAAATCACACCTCTTTTTTATAGACATTTACCATTTGGAGGATATGTACAAATTCAGAGCAATCAGCATGATGACTTTGAACCACTCAAGTTGTTTCCATTGAGTTCCTGGATAGCTAATAACTACAATGATAGCTAATAACTACAATGAATTGTAGTTCAGATAGCTAATAACTACAATGAATTCTTGCCTCACCTCTCCTTCAGCTCCTTCTGTTCTTCTACATAAGTCTAGAAAAAGGGAAAAAGAAAATTCACCCAGTAACTTTACATGTTTTAGAACAGTTTATGAGGGGATCCAGACTTCAAATTGATATACTCCTTGCAAACCCCTTCCAGACTCACCAGTTGATTTTTAACTGTTATCTCTTCTTCATCTTCTTCATCATCATATTTGCTACAGAAAAAAAGAACGATAATGAGTTGACCAATCTTTGCTCACAAACACTTGAAATTAAAGAAGCCAAATTATCTGAAACCTGAAATTCAGTCCTCTAATGAGATATTGCTTCCAAAGAGGTTGAATCTTCTCAGAAAGAAACAAAGCTGCTCATACATTTATCCTACCGCTAAGCTGATATAAACTTACTAAGGGCGGGAAAGTAAAGTACAAACATTTTTTTTCAGTTCCAGATACAGAAATGTAGCACGGGAAACTTAACTCCTCTATACTGCAAAAAAGCAAGTGTCATTATATGAAAATATAGTGACAAGATAGTCTACAGCAGTGTTGGCGAACCTATGGCACGCGTGCCAGAGGCGGCACTCAGAGCCTTCTCTGTGGGCACGCGCGCCATCGCCCCAGCCCCGCCTCCCCCTGCAGCCCCCTCCTCTCCAGCAGCCCCCCTGCACGGAGTAGCGCAGCCAAGGACATAGCTGGGCAGCAGGGACAAGACACCGCCCTCGCGCTCCATAGCGTGCAGATGATGCTGCGGGGTGTGGGCAGAGGGCGTGGCTGCCATGGTGCTGCCTGGGTGATCTGCTACGGTGAGCCATTGAGGCAGTGCATGGCCCTGTGGGCAGGCGGAGCAGGCCGGGGCGGAGCAGACAGGGCGGGAGGCAGAGCGGGGCAGGGAGCGGGTTTGGGGCATTCGGTCTCTAAAAGGTTCGCCATCACTGGTCTACAGAATCACTGAACTGCTCATGTCATTGGAAAATTCATTTTGTTAGACATGCCATCTGAAGGGTTTGGAATAAACATAAAGTTCCCTACGAAGATTCCTAGGTATCATCCTAGGAAGCTTTCTTTAGAAATTTGTTAAATGAGTTTTGCTCTATGTTATGACTTTTCTTGCCACAGTTGTTAAGTGGATCACTGTAGCTGTTAAATTAGTAACACGGTTGTTAAGAGAATATGGTTTCCCCATTGACTCTGCTTGTTGGATGGTTGCAAAAGGTGATCATATGACCCTTGGGACAGTGCAATGGTCATAAATTTGAGTTAGTTGTCAAGCATCCGAATGTAAATCACATGACCACAGGGATGCTGCAACGGTAATAAGTGTGAAGCCATATAGGAACACAGTATTCTACTGCAGAGTACACCAACCTTAGTGCTGATGACCTGAGAAGGGCAGCTGAAGCTCCCTGTCAAGCGTTTACAGCTTTCCAGTGCAAAAATAAGCACACATTCAAAATGAGCAGGAGGCATAGTTTAGAAAAACTTTATCTATAAAATATATATAAACATGATACATACAGTTTTATTCAGCTCTGGGGAACATCAACAACTCTTAACTTGGAGATCAGAAGAAAACAACACAGAGAAGACTAAGACACGCCCAGACCTAGACTGGATCACATGCCTCACACAGCCAATACTGTGTCTTAATCAAAAACAGTTCTCATTGGCTGGTTTGTTGCTATGGCTATTTCAGTTCATAAAATTTCTTACACACTGACACTCCCCATTTTGTTCAACATGATTTCTGAAATATGTTGTTCCTAGTATTGATTTTTGCTGGCGTATTCTCTAGTCCAATGTTACTCCTAAATACTTTGGATGGGGATCATAGGGGAGTAAGTTGTTTAAGTAGACCTTCAGGGCTTAAACAAGCTAGTTTGTTTTGTTAAGGTGGAAGCATGTGGTTACTGTTTTGCTGGTGCTAAGAGTGAGCCTCCAGTCAGTGAAGAGTTTTCCCAAGATTTTAAGATCTTTGGACAGGAACCTGCCTGCCACATCCATGTGTTTTTCTTGTCTTGCTGTGGCCAAATCATCGGTATATCCAAATTTGCGTCCCCTTGTTGCTGGCATATCTGATATATATAAGTTGAATACTGTAGGTGCCATTATAGAGCCTTGTGGGAAGCCATTATTTAATCTTCTTACCTTACTTATGTTGTCCCTCATTATTATCTGAAAGGACCGATCACTCAGTATGTTATTAATTACTTGATAGAGATTTCTGCAGGGGATATGGCACAGTTTGTATAACAACCCGTCCTTCCAAACTGTGTCATATGCCTCAGTTAGATCTACAGATATGGCCATGGTTTTGAGGCCTCATTGGAATCCTGTTTCAATATAGTCTCTTAGGCTCCAGTCTTGTTGGAAGCCGGCTTGTTCCACAGGCAGATGTTCATCTATTATGGGACCTATCCTGTTTATAATTAATCTTTGTAGCAGGAACTCAAAAGGGTGATTGGGTGGTAGCTAATGCTAGAATTGATATTATTCTAGCATTTTTGAATTCTGATGGAAGGCAGCCATTGGAAACTACATCTGAAAGGAATTTACCAATCCAATTCTGTGTGCACCTCCAGAGTTTATCAGGAATTCTGGAGGAATACCATTGATGCCTGATGCTTTATCACATTTCAGACTACCAATGTCAGTGTCAATTTCCTTTATAGAGAAAGCATTTCACCGGATTGCTGAAAAGCTGAAAATGCTTTTTTTATGAGAATGGAGTGTCCTTTCACCCTTGGAACTTTGGAGAGAGATATAACTCAGGGGGCTATTTGGTCAGGGTTATACTGTTTGTCATACGGGTTGCCTAGCTCTACTCAGTTTTCTTAATAGGCCCCAAGCTTTCCGGCTGGATTTGCTGAAACTTAGTGATTCTGTGTATTGTTCCCACTTCTTACATCAAGCTTCATCCAAGCTGTGTAAGAAATCGTCGGTGATCTTGGGATCACCACTCTGTAAAAGGTTTGGTAGAGTCCTTCAGTCCATCCTAGGATGTACTCTCTTCTAAATCCTTGAGGGATATGTCTTTTCGTAAAGGCGATTATTGCCTTCAGGAATCTATGATAGTGCTAACTACTTGATGAAATCCACTATATAGTTTTATCAAGATTTTCAGCAAATTTGGGTCAGTTGACTTTTTGAAAGTTTCATCTGGGTCTGGGATACAGATTATGGGAATTTGGATGAAAATTATATATAAAAATTTGGGTAAAAAGTATAAAGTTACTTCAAATGTATGCAGGAAGTGTAAATGTAAAGAAGGAACTTTTTATCATCTATGGTGGACTTGCAACAAAGCCAAGATATATTGGAGTAGGATTCATATCTTAATACAGAAGATTCTTAAAGTGAATACAAAGATAAAACTAGAGACTTTTGTTTTAGTCCTAATGGACAAAGAACTTGAAAAATAAATTGGAACTGTGATATTACCGTGTTTCCCCCAAAATAAGACCCATGCTGAAAATAAGCCTGGGGGGGTGGGCATAGCCAGCACAAGCAGCTGCGCAAGCGGGGCCAAAGGTGTCCTTGGCGTAGTGCAGGTAAGTCTGCAAGCAGAGGCGGGGGGAGGTGTTTGGGTGCCTATGGGCACTTCAGAACCGAGCGAATCGCTTCGTTCCGAAGCACCCCATAGGCGCCCAAACACTTCCCTGAGGTCTGACAGAGAATAAAAGCTCCGTTTGCTTGCAAATGGGACGCTTGAAGACAGAGCTAATCACTCCATTTCAAAGAGCCCCATTCGCAAGGAGACGGAGCTTCCATTCTCTGTCAGATCTCCATTCAGGGGAAGTGTTTGGGTGCCTATGGAGCGCTTTGGAATGAAGCGATTCACTCGGTTCCTAAGCACCCCATTGGCACCCACTTTTGCCACGGAGATCTGACGGAGACTGGAAGCTCCATCTGCTTGTGAATGGGATGCTTGGAGACAGAGCTAATCGCTCCATTTCAAAGCACCCCATTTGCAAGGAGATGGAGCTTCCTTGCAAGGAGATGGGAGCTTCCTTCGCCTCCTTACCAGCCCGAGGCTCAAGTCTTGGCAATTAGGTTTAAATAGCACATAACTGATGCCGGAGGGGACGTCCTGGGGGGGGAGGATTCTGGCTGGCCTGGGGTGTGTTCTGCCACTGCCTCCCAAGCTCCACCTTCACCCACTGCCGAGGATTTTCATGTCTGTCAGCTAGCTTGGGAGGCAGTGGCAGGGGGCAGCCCAGCAGCAGCAACAGCAGAATCCTCCCCCCGGGACAGAGCACTATGTCGACGCCACTGCTTCCCAAACCAGCCGACGCATATGAAAATCCTGGGTAGCAGGAGAAGGTGGAGCTTGGGAGACAGCATTGGGGCACGGCCCAGGACGTCCCAGCAGCAGCAGCAGCAGAATCCCCCCAGGACAGCCCTTCCAGCAGCAGCTACGTGCTATTTAAACCTAAGTGCCAAGACCAGAGCCTCAGGTTCGTAAGGGGGTGAAGGCTCCAGGCAGGGATGGCGGACACAATGGGACAGGCCAGACGACGAGCAGAGAGCTCCGCCACCACTGCTGCTTCCCCCTCGGAGCTGCAAGCACGAGGCAGTCTCCTTTAAGCCCACCGAGGCTCCGATCTAGGTACTTAGAATTAAATAACATGCAACTGGCACCAGTGAGGCTGTCCCAGGGAAATTCTACTATTGCTCATGGCAGTGGGAGCACCAGTGCGATGCACATGGTGTCCTGCTGCGAGTGGCCGCAGAAGTGGGGAGGCGCAACAGATGTTGGGGTGTGGGAGCCTGGCTGTGGTGGTCCTGCAGTAAGTGGGTGTGGGGCGGGTGGGGCAGCTCTCCCCCACCTGCCTTGCCTTGTGGCGGCGATACCAGTCTCCTAGTGGATGGGGCTGTTGGTGCCACTGACATAAGGCGAGGTAGGTATCAGAAAAAAAAATGACACACCCCTCAAAAATAAGACCTAGTACCTCTTTTGGAGGCAAAAACATATAAGACTGAATCTTATTTTTCGGGGAAACACGGTATATATGCTGATAGCTGCAAGAATGCTCTGCCTGCAAAAATGGAAAGATACTTTAATTTCCACAATGGATGACGGCTGAAAAGACTTTGTGCTTGAGGTGTAAAAAATGAAACTTTGATTTTAGGTTTTGCTGATTAGATAGGTTTGTTATGGAAATGGCTAGTATATATTACTATGTAAACGTAAAAGACTAAGGTTGTATGTTTAT